ACACACTGGACACACACTTCACTTTAATCTATGGCCTCCTCTATCTCTGCCCACTCATGAACAAACCACACCTGCTCTCTACAGATTGTCATTGATTTCAGCAGCCAGGTCGGACAAATTGCCTGGCATCCCGCTCCGTCCCGAGGCTGCCAAGGCAGCGCAGCAGGGGCCGCCGAAAACCTGAGGAATCTCTGGTTGCCAAGCAGCGTTCAAACGGAAAGGCTGATGAAGCTGCAAAAACCGTGCAGCCCGAGTTTACGTAACCTATCAGCGAGAGAAAAGATAGATGTGACAACTCAGCTGAAGCTTTTCATAATATGCAAGATCGAGGTCAGAATTGTCACAGAGAACTTCATCACGGGCGAGACGACGAGGACGTTAATGCGAGAGGATTTGACGTTTCATCACATTTAAAGTCTCTTTATGCGCTTCAAGGCTTTCTGACTTGTCACAGTGGCAATCATTAGGGGGTGTTAAACGGCGAGTGGTTGGGAGTGAATGAGTTAGTTTTCCTTTGTGTGCTCCTGTGCAACAAACCCACGGCTCTGAGCGAGTCGCTGCAGCTGCGGCTTGGCCCGACGTTTTCCAGTACCAGCCGTGGGTGATGGAGGGTGTGCGAACTCCGTAACCCCCACAGAGTCCTGCTCGTTGCAGCTTGTGTGTGTGTGTGTGTGTGTGTGTGTGTGTGTGTACGTATGTGTGCGCTGCAGCTGTGCGAACAGCTGTCTATAGTAACATGCCTCGGCTGTGTTTTTGCACACAGAGATGAGCTCAGACGGCACCTCTCAAAAGTGTGTCCAACTCCTGAGAGCCAGCGGCGTTCTTACGGGCCTCGTGGGAACTCTTTACGGAAACGCTGTTAAACGAATAAAAGTTTTGGGATCTCAACAGTGTTCTTTGGTGCTAAACATTGTGAAAAAGATGTCAGCTAAGCCACGGTGATGATGGGATGTTATGTGTAGGTTTAAATGCATGTTTTTATGTGTTTATGCATTTATTTTTTCACATGTCTAAAGGTTCTGAACGGGAACTGCTTGGATCTGGATGGATCCTCAGAGTGATTTGGCTTTTGGACGTAATGCGAGGGCATTATCCTTCTCTCTTTGGATTTCACCAAGCTTCTATTGGTGATCTTCGCTGCTTATGTGAGAGACTTGGACGAGTCAGTGTGTGGACCAGCTTTGTTATCTGAGTCCGTTTACAGGACTGTCATCCCTCTATGGGGACTAAACGCCAGCTTTTGTCCTGAGGAAATACTTGCAGGCACATTTGCATCAAACTTCCCATACAAACCACCAGCCATCAAAGACACTTTATGAACAGCACCCTCCTGCACTTTACAAGAATGCATGTAAATCCATAAGAGAATCATTAATTTTTCATGCTCAGATCAATAGCCGGAGCAGGAAGAGGGTTTTCTCCAGAGGACATTAGGGGGCTTCAGTCCTGACAGAGTTCTCCATCTACAGAGAAGGTCCATGGAGAAATGTCAGTCAAGCAAGGGGCACAGTAGCTACGATGAGGCATCTGATGGACTCGTGGTTATTAAACAGCCTGTAGATGATAAAAACCAAACAGCCTCTTGGGTATTGCAACTATGAGGCTTCACAGCCAACCCCACTGGCTTCGCTGGCGCCAAGAGCTCAGGCTTGTCAAAAGTGATTCGGTTCACGCAGATGAGGACACATCCAGAATCCCCCCGGTGCTGAAGGACGGCCATGTGCGCCCTATATACAGTATGTCACAGTACATGTGTTTACACGTAACGCTGCCTGTGCATCGAAGTCACAGCTCTCAGCAGGACTGGCACATGCACATAACAAACAGGAACAATCAATGTCATTTCTGCTGCTCCTGCAGAGCATGAGCCATTTTCAACTGTGACACTATCAACAGTATCAGAGGGAGGAGGCGGAAACCAGTCTGTCAAACAGCATGTGATGAAGAAATGAATTCTTTGCATATCGCAGGCTTACACCTCCTCCCTGAAACACTTAAAGCTCCATCTGACAAATCCAATTAGCGCGACATGAACATTATGGTTGTGCATACACACCACAACCACGATCTTGGCAGGGACTGGAAGGATGGGCAGCGGGGACGCGAGCCAGACAGGCATGGAGGTCTGGCAGCGAGGGCCTCCACGCTGCCTGGAACCTCCAGCTGGAAGACCCAGTTCCTTGACAGGTTGGCAGTGCTGAATCTCCTCAGCCCTCTGGACTATCACCACTTCTCATCTGTGAGTGCTCCTCTGTTCACATGCCACTTCCGCTTCCTTCCTCAACAGCCTTTGACCATCTTTCCTTAAAGCCATCTGATTTTTCCAACTTGGCTCAAATTTGTTCTATTTCGTTTAAATGTATTCTGCATAGCTGGACCTCTTTAAAATGATTTGCAATAACCAGCATGGAGGACATCTGTATGTGCTCGATTGTCAGGGTTTGATTCTCTCTCTCGAGAGAATGGATCATAAACATTTGGGTAGCATGAAAAAATCAGAGGAGATCATCTATTTGTGGGAGAAAACAAGCCATCATGACCCGAAACACTTCACCAAATTGCCGTTTGAAAGCTAAATTAGCATCTTCTACTCCGCTGTGGGCTCACACTTTAAATCACCAAACACGATCATAAAGTTAGTTAGACAGACGAAACAAAGCTCCAACGTTTTCCCAGAGCTGCACACAGAGAACATCTTGTGGAGGTGTCTGGCAAGCTGTCAGCCTGTGCAGTCTCCTGGCCCCTGGCAGTGTGGAGATTTGCATTTGGCTCAAAGGAGGACGAGAACATCAAAGGCGCTCTGAAGCACCACTTGATGCTGCACAATGGGACAGGTGAAGACAAAGCAACGCAGCACAGGAACGCTCTGAACTACTGTACCCACAATGCACTGCACTTCCTAAAATAAAAGTGGGACACATCAGTGCTACGACAGAAACAACAACAAAAAGGCTCGTGATGTGAAAGCAGAACAAAGGTTAGTTTTCTACATTATGTCTCTCAGAAAACTCTGATATTTTTGTATTTCCGCTCTGAGGACGTTTGTGTAATATCTGTAAACACTAGAGACGGATGACTGTGGCAGTCAAAGCAAAAGGCCTGAATAAAATATGACAGGCTAAATAAAGAGCTGCAGGAATCTGTAGCATATAATTCAGAGACTGACATGTAATTACTGTCAAAACAGTTTCTGACAACAGCTGAGAAAGACTGCTTCAGTTACATCCACTGGAGGAAATCAGCTTTTTTCTCTTGCCTTTTGAAGCCTGCTGGACAGCGTTACACACCCAGACCTTGCTATTATCATTTTAGTTGTAATGCAGACTTTATGGCACATAAAACTGAATCACCTGCCGTCTGGACTCATAACTCGGAGCCTGAAATTTGAATTTAACCAGCTGGAAGTCTCATGAAAACATGCTATTCCAAGACAGTAAAATTCAGAACATCTACCAATTTAAGTCTCAAATTTGACACGTCCATGATTAAGTATTTCTATTGCGTTGCATCATGTGTTCATATATTTTCATGGATAAATGTCACAGGGAGACACAGCCTGTACTACCCACAACAAGGCTTGACTTTCTGATGCACCAGCCTGGACGTGACCACGTTTTCTTCGCCTGCCTTCAAACTTACACTCATACACGGCACTCCAGCACATTGTCCGACTGTCCACGTTGCCTAGCAGCAGCCCCTGAGTCACGAGTCCAGTAACATCTATTGAGATTTACCCACGCAGACACATCCAAACCCAGGCTAACCTCTTTGTGACTGTGACGCCTGCTGGGCCTTGTCGTCGTCGTTGTCGTTGTTGTTGTTGTTGTTGACTTGAAAAGGTTTGCGTGTTTGAAAGCCACAATAGATGCTGAGATTGCCATCGTTTGAACCACAGTCTCTGAGGCTAATTTCGTCAACAATGCCTCATGTTTGAAAATTGACCTTGAAATGAAATGCCAAGTTAGGACAGAAAGAGGAACAACTGAGAACAGGAAGTGGAGGCTGAGCGGTGAGCCAGGCTGCCTCTGTTGGACCCCTGAGCGACGCCCTGAAGCCGGTGCACTCTGAACCCAACTTCCTAACAAAGCACAGAACTCCACTGTGATGCACACGTCTGAACTGCTCGTGGTTCTGTTCATGTATTGAGGGGTGATGCATCTCTGTGTTTAGGGAAGCAGAACAAGGAATATGAACAGCAAACTGTCCAGGCATTCCCCAACATGGACTCGCACGCCGAGCTCCTGTATCCGCCTCCTGTGACTTTGGCTGCCATGGCAACGGATTTGATGCACATGAAATAAAGGACCAGCAGATACAGGGCCAAGTTATGACACTATGAACTTTCAAAAGCCTCCTTCACCACTAGAACTCCTCCTCTCCCTCCCAGAGTCTAAAGCTCTCATGTAGGAAACCTGCATCCTGCATTTCACAGCATCAAGGCTCCTGAGCAATTACTTGTGATCGCAGCCCAGTTGGCCTGGACACTGTTTATCCGCGCTGGCATGGGAATTCATCTGGCAAAACCCAGACAGCTGAGAAGGAGGGTGTTTCTTTTTCAAGTGCAACGCGCCTTCGCCAGCATATATGTATGCCTCCCCAAAGACGTCTTCACGATGGCTCAATGCTCACTTTAATTAACACATAAGCCTGTTGATGTTAATTAAAAAGCAGACAGACGATTCCCCATCAGAAGAAGATCACACGGAGGGGAGAGCTTTGGCTGTGAACACACCGCTAGATGTACCAGCAGCACTTGGCACTTATTCACAGGAGACTTTGTGGAACCCTCTTGAAACGTATGCATTAGAACCGGGCGCATCAAACCGAGTCTATCAAACAGATATTGGATGGCAGCTAATTTATGGTGAAAATGCAGATTTGCTCAAATCTGAGAAACGTGTTTAAAGCAGAGGAACTGCTGTTGGATGTTTAATGTGGGCGCTCCAGCTGCAGCCACGGGATGGGAAACACGCAGGTGATGCAGCGACTGTGTGACTTACTTCATGGGCTTGAACAGCGCTTGTCCATAGTTCTGGAAAGTCATGATCAGCTTCAGCTGGGTGCCTCCTGATTTCATGGCTGGGAGGAAAACAAGTGAGATGTTAGATCACAGTCTGAACCGGCTGAAGCATAAACACACAGACACAAACACGTGGATGCACTCACACATATGCACAGCTGTTTCATTATTTGCCAATTTGGAAAATGCAATTTTGCATGAATGCATAATAGAGCTATCACATCTGCTGGCCAATTTAGCAGACACTGGATAATGAAAGTGCAGTTGTGACTGTTGGGAGCCGGGCGTGACCGAGTGCAAGAAGTGACTGAGAGCAGAAAGTGGCATGAAAAGCATCTGCTGACAACTCGGGCTGGTTCTCGGGTTGATGGAGGGCTGGACATGAAATGGACAATTTGTCGGCATGACTAATTCGCAGAGCGATTGTGTGTCCTTGCGTGCATCTCTACAACAACACATCACCAAGAGACAAACATCCTGTCTGTATTTCCACTGGTACGGTCTAATAAAGCACACTTAATGTATGCTTCCATCCATGTGTGTTTACGTGCAGATGCTTCACACTGCAACAAACCTGATTCTGACCAGATGTTTCTCTGCGAGTCGTCACGGATCACACACATTGTCAGCGACTTCTCGTGCATGTTAGACTCTCCACAGCCACTTCCCTCCTCGGTCCCACTAGCTGACCTCCTGCAGCCGGGGACAGGAGTCGGGGCATATGTCTCCGACTATCAGTCATGTCCACGGTGTCTCCCAGAGGGTGATGGAGACTCACTGTGAGCTTCCTGCCTTGCTCTGACTCAAACAAAGCGACCGCCAGGCCTGTCTAAATGCCTTGTGTTTCTGTCACAATGGACAGGCTTTCAGGGGATTTGCCCATTTATTACAGCGCATTAACTTGAGCATATTACACAACACGGCGCTTCTGCCTAACCCCAATATCAACATAAGCCCCCTGTAGTGGACCCACTTACTGACTGGATTGCTGGCTGAGAAGCTGCCTGCACTCTACCCCCTGCACAGAGCTGCCTTTTGTTTTTATTGACTCTCTTGCTGTTTCTCTCTGAGCTCACACAGTTTGTTCTTCTCTTTTTTTGTCCGTTCACGTCTTCCTTGTTTTCTCTCTGTTATGCTCTGTCTCAATTCATCTTACTCAAGGCTGGCAGGATCCCCATTCACCGTGACTCATTCTCAAAAGCGTTTGGATTTTGCATACAGTGTTGAACATAACAGCACAACCTACATAACCTCAGGTCAGCGTGTTTTCCTCACAACAGAGGAGGGATGGTGAGCGCAGGCAGAGCCAAAGAATACACTGGGAGTATTAGAACTACACATGTGACAGATTTGCTGAAGCCAGGTCAAGGCCCCGGAGTAATCTTTAAACTTGGTGCAGATACACAGCGAGCCTGAACCTCTGAGTGATTGCAAACAACTGAACTAATGCTGTGACCTTGAACTCATAAGCCACAATTCTTGAAGAACTGACCTCGATTCACCGCCGGCCTCCATAAAATTTGGTTTCTAATCGAATACCACAAAAAGGTAATCCCCTCTGAGAGACCTTGGCAAAGCTCGGCTGATTGTTTCTCTGGATTGTGTCCGCGCTGACATGCAATCACACACGACTTGAACAGCCATCTTTAAATTCTCCCATCTGTCTCAGGAGCTGTGTGTGAATATATGTGTTTGATCCGACCATCTATCCGCCTCGGCTTCTCCAAGAGACCACAAATAAATCCATCTTTGTTTCTGCAGCTTCTCCTCGGCTGCTCTTTCAGAGAGCTCCAGGCCTCAGCCGCCGCCATCAGATTCCCCTCCCGTGGCGTGATGATAAATCCATCCTGTTCTCACCTGTGCCACCTCACGGTACTCTGCCTATGATTTATGGCTTCAGCTGATGACTGAACAAAAGGCCACAGTCTGCCCCGACAGACACAGAGCAGGGAAGAGAGAGACGACGCTGAAGAGGGAAACTTTCTAACGCCGTTTGTCATTTCAGCGAGACGGATAAGCAGCGAGCGTGTGCACTAATTATGGGGTGCTGTAATGCATACTTCCAGGGACACGTTTCACCTTCTGTCTTTACAGGTGCGTCTGCAAACACCAGCTATGGCTGCAGCATATATTGTTTAGAAATGATGCACAAAGTGCTAAAGTGCAGGAGGAGACGTGCAGCATGAATGAGTGTGAGCTGCTGCCACTGATAACAATGAGACCGTGAACAAAGCTCCAGTGAGGAACACAATGAGCACCTCTGATCACACTGATAACCAACAGTCACCACAAGAAAAGAGCAAAAATGACAAAGAAGATGAACTATTTTGGTTAATAAGACTTAAAACTGACCCATATTTAGCAAAAAAAAAAAAACAAAAACCCTGACAATAATCAAATGACTTGCTTATTTTTGTCATTTTAACACCACGAGAAATATTTTATTTTAGTTTTCTCACTTTTTCATTGTCATATTTCTCTTAATGCTCACTTATTTTTGCAAAGAATTTCCACTCATCTAACATTAAAAGCAAAGTGTCTCCAAGTGACAGACAGTAATGAGCATTTAGGAATGAAAGCAGTGTATTTTCTTGTCATTACGTCTGCCTGCAGTGAGACTTTTTAGGCGTACGTGGTCTATTCCTGGTTCTCCATTTAACCATTCCATTTAGCATCACGGTGCACATTCAAAGCCCCTGATTGGACAGATGAAATGCTGCTTGTACACTGAGGTTTGGATGCTCTAACAACACTTGACTGCTACAGTGTTAAATGAGTTTCTGCAGAAACACGAACTTCAGATTATACCATTAATAATGATTATGTAATTTGGCAGCTGTAACACAACATGCTGGTCGAAACAAATATGCTCCCTTCAGCACCATCACACCCACATTATTTGATAAACATAGATTGCTGGGATCTATATCGAGCTCCAGAGGGAAGAGGCAGCCAACCATGGATTTATAAAACTTGCACATATAAGCAGAAATGCAATAAAGCACCAGATGTGTGCGATCACGACCTCGTCTGAGCGCACAGCACACTGCACACAGAACAACACTCATTATGGGATTCAATGTACGCCAGACAAGTCAGATGCACACAACTGGCTTTAACCAGCTTGGATCTGTCTCCAAAGCCTTCGGTCTGCTTTGTTTTTAATATAAATGTCTTCTATTTGTGTTTACACAGCAGAATTTTACTGAAAAGCCTCCTTCGGTTGCATTATATCACAGGATGGTGCAATCTTTATATTACAGGAAGGCTACCAGGACCCCTAAACATCCAACACACACCTTGTTAACACGACTGACTCACCCACGCTGGTGATCCTCTGCAGGACCAGGTCCTTCAGCAGGGCGTCCAGCACCGGGTTGTGTCTGGAGTACAGCTCGTAGCGGTTGATCCCGATGTGGAAACGCAGCCAGTTGGGGTAGGATTCAGCCGTCACCTCGCCGGTGGGAGAGAACTCCTCCTCATCCTCGTTCCCTTCCTCATTGTGCCTGAAAAAACGAGCGAGGAGAAGGTTTGACAAGAAGTCCTGGTGGCAGCTGAATCATTTGTTGCACTCTGCTAATGTGGACCAACTGTATCTGGATAATTAATGCAGAAGGAATTGGCACAGAAAAGTAGGTTAGGTGTTAATGACAGATGGTTAAAATGCAGCTTCACTGGCAAAGGGATTAAACCAAGAAGACGAAAAAAAAAACAGCAGGATGATAAATTATAAGTTGCAGGACAATAGGAGAGATGGGAGGATGCAGAAGCTGACAGACAGACAGACAGAAGGATGACTCATGATCTGTAGGCCTGATTGGACATTATTCAGAATAAACATCATTTAAAGGCAGAACAGAGACTTCCTTCTGGAGCAAACATGCAGTATTCTAGCCTTCACTTCTGTCACCAGTCTAACACGTTTACAGCAGTCTGTCTGTTCACTGTCCCACTTCCAGCCCTGAACTTTCATTAATTCCCATCAGCTTACCATCCTTGGTTCCCTGTTGCTTTGGGATAAAACCTGATGTCAGTGTTGACGTTAAACAAAGTGTCATCGTCCGTGAGGGAAGGAAGGTCAACCTTGTATAAGGGATGCTCGAACAGAGCAGCCAGCCGGGAGGCACCGTGGCCGGACGCGGTCCGACCTCCGCTCGCGTCCCCGATGAGCGGCTTGTGGTCGTCCGCCTTCCCCGCCGACGGTCCGGTCCGCCGGAAGGAGTCGGCTCTGTCCCCGGCGGCGGTGATCTTTTCCAGGGAGTGGGACGTGAGGTTGGAGCTCGGCTCGTTGCTGAAATCCTGCAGGATCCTCAGCGTGTGCTTGTTAGGCCAGCCCGCTTCAGCCGCCGACCTGGCGCGCTGCTTCGCCCAGCCCTGCGCCTCCCCGCCCGGGTGGTGCGCGCACTGACAGCCGCCGTCCCCGCTGTCCGCGCCGGCAGCCCGCTTCTCCAGCTTTGGTAACAAGTCTATCATGATGTGCATGGTGCAGGCGACCAGAAACACCATGAGTATGAGCACTCTGAATTTACGGAACAATATCATCTTCACATAAATCTGTTGTCTTGAGTCCGCGTCAGGAGCAGCGCACCTCACAGCGCCGACATGGGTGTCCAACAGGGTTCTGCGGTGGTAGTTTGGAGGTTTTCTCTGATCGTGGCACACATCACAAGCTCCATCATATGCCTGCACTCTTTACAACAGTTCGTGCTTGCGGACAGGTGGACGGACCTGGGGAGACACTTCACTGGCAGCAGCTCCACAACAACTCTTCATTCATCGCGCTGTTGGACAGAACACAGTGTCAGGAGGACGCAGGACGAAATGAATCTTTCAGCGGAGGAGGGAGAAGGGAGCGTGGTCCCGTTAAAAGCATCGACAGTCTTCCTCAGAGCTGCTCCTGCGCGTCGCTGCCAGCTCCGACAGAGATGTCATAACTAGAGGAAAGTAACAGCAGGGATCGATGAGCTGTCCGCGAAAAAACGCAACCTTCCTGGTGTTCAGGATAAATTCATGATCAAACAGGCAAATCCACAAAGGCTCCAGGATGCTGCTTCCTGACAAAGCCGCTGCTGTGGGCGAGCGTCGGTGGAGTGGAGCCGGAGCCTGAGCGGCAGGTGCGCGGATCCTGGCTGTGATTTGTCCTCTCAACACTCCTGCCTTGTCTTCCTTCCAAGTGCTCACCCAGGGTGGGTGTGTTAAATATTATGATCGCAGCCCTCTGAGCCCAGCCTCGGTGGCGTCATGAGGAAGAGATTGGCTGCGTGTGCACATACAAGCAGCGCTGGTGACATGAGAGGCGAGCTTCAGGGATGAGACGCTGAAACCCTGTCAGGCTGCAACTCCGCTGTGCGCAGCCAGAGGGCGTGAACGCAACCAGAACCAGAGCCATACAGCCTGTATGTGGAGGACAGTGTATTCTACTGTACGTCCTCCTTCAAAGGTGGTCCAAAGAGGGCTCCGTGCGCCCTGAAGGGGCCTTGAGGTTGAGCCAAGGGGTCACCAGCAAAATGAGGATTTACATTCACGACAAGCATTAAAAATATTATACTGGCACAAAAGTTATCATTGGGTGGAACACAGGGCTCTAATGGTGACCACCTGGGAGTGTAAAAGGGTTTGAGAGATTCTTTAGACCACTTTAAAGGGACGTTTGGCTGCAACAGAAGCTGACCGAGAAATAGTAAACAGTATTATCAGGGATGAACTGTTTTTGTCAGCAGATATCTTGTTGGTTTTATCAATACAATAATATATGAAGAGATCCATCCATTATCTATAAACTGCTTAATCCTCACTAGATTTGTGTGTGTGTGTGTGTGTGTGGGGGGGGGGGGCTGCTGACTCAGGGTGAAGGCAGGGGTTCACCTGGACAGGTAACCAGTCTATCACAGGGCTACACTTAGAGACAGACAACCAAGCACACTCACATTCACACCTACGGACAATTTACAATCACCAATTAACCTCAGCATGTTTCTGGACTGTGGGAGGAAGCCGGAGAACCCGGAGAGAACCCACGCTGCACGGGGAGAACATGGAGACTCCACGCAGGAAGATCCCAGGTGTCCTTACCGGGACGCCAACCGGCGACCTTCTAGCTGTGAGGCAACGGTGCTAACCACTGATCCATCTTGCAGCCCTTATATGAAGAGTTCATTCACAAACACAGATAACTCCATCTTCACTAACCTTCAGAAAATTCACTTTTTCCATCATCTACCTGCGACACCAATCAAAATTATCTGTTTTTGCAAATGAACTCTTCACATTCAGCTGTAAATTGTAAAACAACAAACATGTGACAGATCTGCTGAGAAAAACAGCTCAAAGAAAGATTACATTTCCAGCCGCCACCTGAATCCACATTCAAGCATCACTTCCTGTCGCTCTGCTTTGGTCTCCACTGAAGATGGACAATAAAATAAATAAAAAGGTGTCCTTGACTACAGGGTGTGTGACTGTAGGTATGAGGCTGGCTCATGCAGTTTGCTTCTCCACCATTATCAAAATCACCTTGACTACAGGAAACTACAACACTCTCCAGTTAGCAACCTGGCACACTCCAGAGTCGACCTTTAGTCCAGTAAGACATCTTTATTGCCTTCTTTTTTTTTTTTTTACTGAATTAGCCATTTTAAAGACATTTCTCAGCTTTCTACAGCAAATGAAACACCAAATACTCACCTGTCACTCTTCTGAAGGGACACTGTTGCTGCATCCTGGGCTAAGCTCCGCCCAGCCAGACTGAGATTGGTTGTAAAAAAGCACAAACCACCCAGAATGATGAAGAATCCTTCTGTTCTGCAGGACGCGCTCACTGTGCAGGACAACTTGAAGTAAACAAGCTTGCAAACAGACGACCACAGACAAGACATCCGCTCACATGAGAGCAATTTGAAAACACAAAGATTGCAATAAAAGAACACAGCCGAAAAGCGGTAATTGCTGTTGCCAGTCAGTAGCCGGCTGTAAAGGCACAAAGGCACATCATGTCAGAAAGAAGGAAATGACACATAAAGCAAAAACTGTTTATTGCTGTGTACACTCAAACATCTACACTTTAAAAAAAAAAAAGTCTGCTGTGCTCTTGAAACAGTCAGTAGATGCTTTCTTCACTGAAAACGCATCGTTGGTTTGTCTGAGCTTGTTTGCAGGGAACGGCTGTCTGCAGTTTTATTTTGGGGGTTAGTGAGAGTTGAACACTGAATACTGAAAATAAACATTACGGTATACAACGTCTGGAAATCAAAAGAATGAAAGGAAGGCAGCAGAGTCTGAGGACACCGTCACTCATCTGCTCAGATACGTTCAAATGCAAATAAAATGCATGTAAAGTGCATCAGGAGGACATTAACTCACAGTGTGGTATCTCAGCTGGGTCGAGCCCTTCTGGTACGAACTGTTTTACAGTGTTTGGTCTGAGGTGAGCTGGTGTGCTTGAGCTGCAGCGAGCAGGAAGGTTTGAAAAGACAAGCAGGTGAGAGAAAGCAACGATGTCGAGTTACAGCGGAGACGTTTTAAGGCAGGAAGGGATTGTTTGAACTGCAAAACGCCTGTAATGTGTAACTTTAATAAGCACAGATGAGGTTTTAGGGTTTAATTAACGAGCAGAGAGCAGCTTTAATCGGAGGGTTTCTAATCAGGTCGTCTATCGTCCGCCATCATCGATCGTCTGCTGTGGACGTCTTGCAGTCACAACACACCCGCCTGCCTTCTCAGAGGCTGCTTCTTTTTCCTACTTGCTGATGAAGTGAAACACAGCATTCATCTGAACTGCGGGGGGACAAAGCAAGCACAGCAATTACTGCAGTTGGCACTCAGAGCCGGGCTGGACCAGATCTCACTGCGACTTCACAGGCCTGAAGAATATCTGAAGTGCCGGGGAGCTTGTTCAAGTTGCCAAATGCAGACCTTTTGACTGGCAGTAAAAAATCTCCCCAGAAAGTCTATTTAACCTTTTTTTAGATGAATATAGTGCATGATAAAGCAAGAAATGGCCTTAGCTCAGACGAACTACACAAAGTAATAAAATGAACAAATTATACTGTCTGGCTCGAGGAGCTCGTGGTACAAGGCTCACCAAGTGGGCCCGGCTGGAAGAGCTTCACTTGGCTCCTGCCCCTCCTCCCAGAGGCATCCAGTTGGAGTTCATGCCACTGCCAGATTTGTGCATCTAAATAAAACAGGATCTTAAAGCTAACAAGCAAACAAATTGTTCTCCCGGAGGCGAGCCCGCTGTCCCCATTCATCTCAGGCTCCAAACACAACAACTTGGCACGTGCAGACATGTTCGAGTCCACCGATACTTAAAAGGTACGCCGCGAATTATATAATTTGCTCGAGCTCAAAGAGTAAAAATAAAAAGGTTAACCACATATGAGGGGTTTTGTACGTTTTGCTGCGGGATCGGTCTGAGCCTGTGAGCATGCTACAGTCGCTCTTGGCTCTCGGCGCCGGCGCTGCTGCCAGCGAGCACAGACCTGATCCGTATCACCAGATGAAACATATTTGTAATCGTTTGCTCGAAGCAGCCACACTCGTCTGCTCTTACCCCCGTCTAGAACATGTTGCTTGAAAAAATACATTCATTTAAAGTTTTATTCATTAACGCTTCGTGAGTAAACAGCAACAGTTTGCAATCAGAAATACGCAACTTGTGCCAAATACTCTGTTGTCATCACCTGCCAGTTGTTGCTGCGTTTATCTCTGACGCATCTCTTCCATAATTTATTTATTTTTAACAGAAAGTGATTCAGAAATGACTCAGTTGGCCGTCTCACATTTAAAATACATAATAAGCCAGTTTCTCCTCCACATCTGGGCCAGTTTTACAGACGCAGGAAGGTGCTCGTGCTTTAAAAAAAAAAAAAGAGTTTAGAAAGTGATGTTTTTTTAACAGAAACCAGTGACCTGTTCTGTGACAATATTATATTATTGATAATATGTTTTCATATATATATTCTGACACTGTTATTTTTATTCTGTTTATATTTAAGTCTAAGTCTATTTAAGCCCCGTCAGAGCGCTGCCCCGGGGTGAAAGTGTCCGGAACGTGCACCAGCTCACTGGTCAGTTAGGCTGAAGTCCAGCAATGTGTAGTGTTCTAACAACACACTAGTTATTATAACAACTATGAACAATAATGAACAACTAATAAACCTTCCAGCATCAAGCCCTCCTTGTATCTGGACCTCCGTCTGGACAATCCAACAGCTACTGTTGCTGCCTCACAAGATCCAGTTCTGTGTCCTCCAGTAGCCAAGCAGTGACATTTCGTTCACGGTTGTGTTTTTGTGCAACAACAATAAAGGAAGTCTGTTAGAGTTTAAATCTGATCTCATGCTGCAGCAGTTCCACACATCTTACATAAACCACAGCTCTCGGTTGCAGAGTGTCGTTGCCGGTTCAGTTTCTCTGCATCTCATTTACTTTCTTCACCAGTCAAAGATCTTCGACACCTTTGACCCCAAAGAAAGGAAAAGTGACAGAAGATGGAGTAGCTCGCCCACATGGGAACCCAGAGTCATGCAACATTTCCGAGCTGGTGCTGGTCTCATACCATTTTCATTAGTCTTGGGTATTCAGGAATGAACTGCCTTGTGTTTAAAATGAAGGGAAGGGAGGAGAGGGAGAAACAGGTGAGCTACAACTAAAGGAAAGAAAAAATCAATGCATACTCTGGATTCTTGTCTGGTTTGGCCCATTGGAATCCAACCAGGAATATTTTTGTGTCTGTCTGAGTGTTTGACCCGAGGGCTCGTCTGTTCCTCAGGTAGCAGATAACTTTGCAAACTTCAGCTTGAGCTCCCCGACCTCACCAGTGTGCAAGAATCCAGGTTATGAAACGACGTACAGTGAAAACTTTAGCACCAGATTGAGGCAAAACACACTTCTGATCCGAAATATCAGACGCCCTAATAAAACTCTACGTGCTTTTATCACTGTGCTCCATAAAGGAGCATAAGCTCATATCAGGTCCGGCTTTATGAGCCCCATGATTTGTTAACAGCTAATTTGGAGATGAGGGATAAACGGCTGAGCGAATGCCACACGTACAGCAGTTATAATTGGTGAATAATGTGACCAAGTAATAGAAATAAAAGTGCTGTTTTGACAAATGGCTTGTCACTGGGCTGAGCCGACGGGTAAAAAGAAAGGAAGGTGTGGCTGAGTGAGTCTGAACGGGTGAC